TGTAAATGGTCAAATGATGTTTCAGGCATTTGCACCCTATGTGAAAGTGGAGAAATTGAAGATGTCAAGCATTTTTTACTATTAAAAATTGCCCTGCTTATAATATCGTTAGAAAACAACATTTAACAAATCTTGAAAATGACCTTCTACTTTGTAACGATTATGATACATGGACACTTTTTTCAACAACAAATGACGATATTAAACTTCAATATGTATTAGGAGGAAATTCAGTTTTTATTTGTGATGAATCTACCTCTATTTTTGATAATTTCTGTAAAAAATACATCATGAATGCTTGGGAGAAACGCTCACAACTAAAAAATTCACAACAATAGTTTACTGTAAATGTATCGCTGCTTATCAAATTGTTTAAAAAAAAAAATTTTTTTTTTTTTTTTTTTTTTTTTTTGTTTACCACAAGTGGGCACTACATCTTAGTCTGTAATCCTTAAGTTTTGTAGGTCTACCTTGGTATTATCTTGTTGTTGTAATGTGTTTTCATCTTTAGATTTTATATTTTGTAGGTTAGTTATTTTAAGCATTTACTTTACAGTTGACCTGTAAATATTTCTGAGTATGAAATGTGAAGTGAAATGTTATCTCATCTAATTTCATATGTTATTTTTCTACCTTTCTTTAATTTTGTAATATTATTTACAGTCGATTGTTATTCATTTTGTTTGTTAAATTTTCCCCCTTTTTTTTTTGTTTTTGTCTGTACGAACGCACCAATTGATATTGAGTGCCACCGATTCAAAGGTGTATGATCAAATAAACAAATAAATAAATAAATAAATAAGACTAGAGCGCTAAACCCCAATGTATTCGATGTTCGAAATACGCAGAACTGTGTGTGTGTACCATCCAAGATGGTTGCCATAGATTTAGCCAATCAAATTTCGCTAAGCACCATCGTTTGCAATTGCGCCCTCAATTTACTCAGAAAGTTCAGTACAGTTAGTTACCCGTATGTTGAAACTCGAGCGTTGCGGTGTTTGGGTGTAATATACACGATTTTAATTTTCATTCCTTGGTACTTTATTTTTTAATAAGATGCTCCACTTGGCCTCATTTTGGCTACAATAGTTTAATAATTTGTTATTACCATTACTCATTATCATTAATGAAATAATAGTCAGTCAGAGGGCTTATTAATATTTAATAATATGTATACTAAGCCTGAAGGTGGCGCTTTACTACGACGGCCATCTTGGATGGTACCATAGAGCTATTAAACATTATTATATCTCTATGGATGGTACACATACATAACTCTGCATTGCTGCGCCATCTTGTCAGCACTCTAGTTGTTTAATAGCTCTATGGAATTACCTAATCCCAGAAAAAGTATACTATGGAACGCCATGCAAATAAGTAATATGGAACGTCATTTGTGCCAAAATCGATTTATTCTTAAGCATTTCAACTGATTAAGACAAAGATTAGGGACTGGAACCCATAGCCTGGGTGCAGTAGGAAATTAGCGGGAAAAAAGTAAAGGAAAATTTATTTTTGGTTTTTCTGAATCAGTATATCATATAGTGTCTCAGAAAAAAAATCCCCATTCTTAGAGCTTGGGCAATTT